CTTCTCTCCAGTCCCAGTTCTGGGCCAGGATCTGCTTCTCGCAGCCCGGGGCGCGGATGTGCCACGCGAGGCTTGTGCACCCGTCGTCCCACTGGCCGAGCGCGATCTCGCTCCGGGCGTTCAGTGCGATAATATCCAGGACGTCTACCTTCGTCGCTCTCTTTTCAGAGGCTAGGATGGGCTTGGATGCATCCGGGGCACACACGCCATCAGCGATGCCCTGCATCTCGTCGAGCAGGTCCGGCGCGAGGCGCCCGATCCCTACGCGGAACTCGTCCGCAACCGTACGGACATGCGGCCAGTCGAACTTGCAAGCCTCCTTGAACATGTCACGATAGATCTCGAGCTGGTCGAGGATCTGCGGGGCGAGCAGCTTGCCATGCTGCAGTCCAATCTATTTACCCGACATTCCATAGTTGATCGTCAGCGAAACTGCCCAGCTTGAGTGCAAGACGTACCACGTACCTCGTACGAAGATCCAACGAGATGTATCTTCGGGACGTTGTAAGTCTTGCTGGTCATCGTCGATTGTCTAAGACTCAGATAGCGTTATCGAATGGTGGTCAAGTTGCGCAGCAGCCTCCACGGTCATGGGGTGTATAAGCATACACCCACGTACCGGACGGCTCCAAATGGAGCATGCCTCCTATGCATCGCCACAAGCAGGGGGCAGACATCGTCCTGTTCCCACCCACCGGCCAGACTGAGAGAATCAGGATAAGATACCACACATATATTACCAGGCATCTATATAGTACGCTGTACTTGCCCCTGCCCTCACGCGAGCTCCTCCACCGCGCTCGAGAACGTCATCGTCGCGTTCAGCGACCGCTCGTACCGCCGCCGCGCCTCGTGCAGTGTCGCAGAGACGGCGCCGAGCGCGAACAGCGTGCAGAGGTCGAACCCGCTCAACGCCTCTGTCTGGAAGATGCTCTGCAGGAAGGGCATGTAGATGAGCGCGAGCTGCACGACGAACGACGTCGAGACCGTCGTCACGAGCATCCGGTTCTGGAGCAGGCCGCAGCCCAGGCCGCGGTTTTGCACGGCCGACACGAGGTCGAGGAATACGAAGCAGGTAAACGTCTGCGCTCGCGGGCGGCGGGTTGGTGAAGGTAGTGACGTCAGACGTCAGGCGAGTGGATGGGATAGCAGGACACGCACCATGGTCTGTTCTCTTCGGGACATATCCTGGTCGTCTGCGAGCGCGTAGAGGTAGACGAACAGGGTGCCAACGACGATGATCGAGGCGGAGAATAGTACACGGTACACAAGACGCTTGCTGATGATCGGCGCGTCCTTTCTTCTAGGCGGTCTTCGCATGACCTGCGGGTCTACAGGGTCTACACCAAGGGATTGGCTTGGGGGTCCTGTTCACACAGTTCGCGAACCGATTAGCACTAGACTGAGCGGCTGAGAATCTGGGCACGAACCATCCATGAGGATGTTGATGAAAAGGATCTGCATCGCGTTCAGAGGGTTGTCTAGCCCAAAGAACGTGCTTAATGTGATCAGCGTTAGCGCGGCACACGCAGTGCTGAGCTGGAAAGACAGGAAGTTTTGGATGTTGTGGAAGATGGATTTGCCTAGGATCCAGAGCAATGAATGACACGAGGAAGATAGGACGAATATGGACGCACCCTCCTCCACTGCAGGTAGGATAGTGCTGAAGTTGTCGTCAACAAGGATCATATCGGCCGCCTCCTTTGCGACATCAGTGCCACTCTTGCCCATCGACACACCAATGTCAGCCATCTTCAGCGCCGGCGCGTCGTTCACTGTAACGCGGAATCATCAGGAACGAGCCTCCTACCCTCCAGTGAATACGCAGTACTGACCTCCATCTCCAGTCATAGCGACGACCGCCCCCCTCGACTGGAACGCCTCCACGATCGCCATCTTATGCTTCGGCGTCGTCCGCGCAAACACGCTCACGTTCCCAACCATCTCTCGCAGCTGTTGCTTGCTCAGCCTGTCAATGGCCTGGCCTGTCAAGCACCCACTGTTGCTCCCCGTGCCTACGCGGAGGCCGAGCGAGCGCGCGATCGACAGCGCAGTCTCCTCAGCGTCCCCAGTGATCATCACGACCTGAACGCCCCCAGACTGCAGGAGGCTGATCGCGTCCGCGACGCCCTTGCGAGGCGGATCGAGCATCGCCTGGAAGCCTGCGAAGACGAGGTTGTTCTTCTCTCGGTCGAGCCCGCTGCTGGGCGTCCCCGCACGCGACGCAGGGGCGGAGGGCGCGGGGGATTCGACCGAGCCGTAGCCATATGCAAGTGCGATGACGCGCAGGCCGCGCGAGGCGGTCGACTGCGCTTTCGAGAGGATGACGCTCCGGGTGTTCGCGTCCAAAGCGGGGGTGGACTCGTCCGAGATGTAGTAGAACTTGCACCGGTCGAGGATGGCGTCGATGGAGCCCTTGATGTAGTACATCTCGCGTTGTGTGCCGTTCGTCGTGGGCGCGAGTGTTTGGTTTGCGTGATGTGTACCGCTGACGGCCATGTACTTGCGCTCTGAGCTGAAGGGCAGCTCCGAGGTCCGGGTGAATTCCTGGGTATGGTCAGCAGAGGGCGTTGCAAAACAGGTTGTTATACTCACCGAGCGTTGGTCGACCATGTTGAAGAGAGAGAGGACGTTGAGGAAGGCGACATCTGTCGACTGACCAACAAACTGCCCTTCCTCGTTCCGCACAGCATTATTGCATAACGATCCAATAGAGAGCGTCTTGCGAAGAGAAGGGGTGACGGGCACGTTGGGAGGTGTAGACGAGGATGGATCCAGAATGAGACTCTCATCAACAGTGTAGATCTCGGTCACAGTCTGCTCGTTCTTCGTCAAAGTGCCCGTCTTGTCAGAGCAGATGACCGAGATGGAGCCCAGGGCCTCTACAGAGTGCAGCTTCTTGACAATGGCTTTGCGCTTCGACATTCGTAGCACACCAAGTGCGAGCGTGACTGTGGTCACGATAGGCAAGCCTTCGGGGATGGCTGCCACTGCAAGTGATACTGTACTTCACCGAACTCGATGGTCAGTCGTGCACATACAGTAGCGTGCCACATCGCGACCGTGCGCAACGTACCTCCGATAGTGAACATCTCCAGCCAAGAGCGACTCTGGATGACCCCAATTATGCAGATGACACCGATGATGGCGAAGGAGATCATAGACAGCTTCTGCGCAAGCTCGTCCATGCTGAGTTGCAGTGGAGTTCGCTTCTCCTCGACCTGTGGTGTACATCGATCACTTCCAGCCCAGGAACCAGACGCAAACACGAGATTAACATACCTCCTGCATCATCGAGAAGATCATCCCGAACTCAGTCTGAGTACCAGTCGAGATGACTACTCCAGCTCCCCGGCCTAGATGACTGCTCATGAATCTCCGCTAACATGTATGATTTACTCCAACACTCACCATTGCGTACCAGCGTACCCATGTAGGCTATGCACGACCGGTCGGCGAGCGCCACAGGTTCTCCTGGAGCAGAATGTGCGGCTCCAAACCCGTTGCTGACGCCATTGCCGTACCCATTGCCATGTCCGCTCCCTGCATTGACTGGCGTGCAAGTCTCCGTGTCCTTCCGACGTGTGGTAGTCTCTCCAGTGAGACTACTCTCGTCCACCTCGAGGTCAACGGCAGAGATCAGCCGGACGTCAGCCGGGACACGGTCACCGGTAGTGAAAGTCACGATATCTCCAGGGACGAGTTCGTTGGCGAGCAGAGTCAGGGGCTTCCCATCGCTGTGCGGCGCAAATGAGTATCTTCGCGCGCAGGCCACGAGACTACCAGGACACACCGGATGAGGTGGCAATGGTGCGGCACAAGCTTGTTCAAGGCCTCCAAACTCTTCTCCGATCGTTGCTCCTGCACGAAGCCAACTGCACGGTTCGCAATGCATCAGGGGTACAACATATGAATGAGCCGCGCATGACATACCTGTCAGGACGATGAGTACCGCCACGGTGATGCTAACGGAGTCGTCGATGTTGCCCATGACGGCACTGACGACTGCGCTTCCGCACAGCAGCAGAATAAGCGGATTCTCATATATCGTCTTCGCAAACTTGACCAGCAGCGGTTCAGGCGTGGAGACTGTAAATTCGTTGTACCCGTGGATAGCCAACAGCTCCTGCACTCTCCGCGAGGACAGGCCGTCGGTCGCAGACGTGCTGAAGTGGGTCAACGTATCCTTGGGTAGGTCAGAGTACTGCCCGCGGACATGATGCCACCGCAACTCACCTGCACCGAATAGTGCGCGAACCGTGCAGACACGCTCTCCCTCTGCGGCTCGTCCTTGTGCATTGGCAGGCGTTCGTACTGCTCTCGTTCCCGTTGGGTGAACGCAGCGACGAGCCGTCCTCCTGTACGCTCCCATAGTCCCCTCGCGCCCTCGGTCTCCACAACAGTCCGAAGTTCACCAAATGAAGATATGCCGCTTCCCGGCGCCGAAGGCGGAAGTCCCAATGGGCCCTCTAGCGTATGCCGCCGCAGTGTTGTGCTGTACGCGAAGTGCGCGCTCGCATCGGGTCGTGTAGGCTGAGGTTCGAAGGAGTGGTCGGCGGGGAAGTGGGAGAAGTATGCAGATGCGGGAGGAGACTCGGTGCGGTACTGCGTGTACACCGGCGGTCGAGCATTAGGGCTGGGATTAGCGTTGTATCTTGCTCTCGCGGAGTAGGACGACGATGCTTCTGTAGAGTAATCCTGGGCTTGCTGTCGTTTGCGTTCCAGAGCCATGGGACTTCAGTCAAGCGCGCCCAGCCAACGCAGCTACAAATCTAACCCCGAGGGCAGCAGTCGTGTGAGACGTCCCAAAGACGATATGGACCAGAGAGAACCCAAACAAGAGGGTACACGGAGAGAGGAGTCAGAGGACGCAAGGACGCGTGAGACCCTGCGCTGGGAGGATGTCGTGGACCGTGACGGTGGACGGTCAAGCTGGCCGGCCATCCGCGGCCTGAACAGAGAATGAGAGTTGGTAGCAGTGCTGCGCAGAGCAAAACCTATGGCCAACGCCGGGATCGAACCGACGACCTTAGCGTAGCGCGCCAAGGAAGGGCGTATTAGCACTACGCTCTAACCAACTGAGCTAGTCGGCCATACTGAGCAAAAATTATAAGTTATTTAACAAGTATTGAGGTTATAGTGCGGCCCCGAAGCGACACAGGAGTTGTTGACTTCGAGTCTTCGAGGTTGACTTGGACTCGAACTCATCCACGACGCAAAATCTTGGATAATATCACCTTACAAACACTCCAGCATGGCCGGACGTATGATATACATGAATGTGCCCGCAGCTCGCCCGCCACAAGACGAAAGCTTCGAGGTAGGGCACACTTCACCGTCTTCATCTCCGCATGTCTCATGATCAACAGGAGCGACGCGTACTCGACTACCTTCACGCGTACCGAACCACAGGAAGACCTCCAGTACCGGTTCCACAACAGCCGACGGATGCACAACAACGTGCTGCTCTTGGACTTCCCCCACTCTTCGTGCCTTTCTCAGACGCCGAGAGTGGCACAGTAACTCTGCCGGGCCTCAATGGCACCACGCCCGGGCCCATCGCAACGACCAGCAGCGCATCCTCTGGGAGTTTGGAAGTGCAAGTATTTGCTGCTATGAAGACGCAGGAGTACGGCTCGGAAGCCCACTTCTATTCCATCGTGGCGCAGCCGGAATACTCCAAGTATTCATTCGAGGTACAGGGTCTTCATCCCATTCCGCAGCCGTCGTACTTAGTTCGCTCATATAGGAACTACGTCATGAGGCCTACCGGCGGGGCAAGAAGTTCGCACAAGTGCCGCTTATACCACCAGTGCCAGTACCAGGACAACCACAACAGCGCCGTAAGACAGCCACCTTACACGCACGAATTGATACTACATTCACGCGGACCACATACAGCTGCGCTGCTGCCATCTGTCCCGCTTACTTCGACAGACAGCCTGCAGAGTGTCAACAGCATGCCTCCCTACGACCAGCACAGTTTCGAGGTGCGTGATCTACGGCATCCGTTCGTCACGAGTGCTGACATCTGTCGTGTCTAGGAGCTTCGGCTGGCATTTATGAGGGCAGGTCGGCCGCTCACCTCAGCCGAGATCATTCAGCAGAACGCAGTGCTCAGAATGACCGTCTAAGACTCACACTTCTGTGTACAAGTGTAACTTGCAAGTTGCTGTATCAATACTTACTCGTCTCCGTCTGTCAGGAGGGGTGGTGCCTCAAGGGGTAACTTGGCAGTGATCCTCGCCTTGACTGGCACCAGGCGGGCGTTGATGTCTCCTCTCAGTGGGTGTGCTTCAGCTTGTCCGCAATCTCGTTCAGCTTCATAAACGCAGAGATGTCACGATAATAGCTGACTTACTGCAGGACGCGAACTCCGGCGATAGTTCCTGCATGTCAGTCGATGGTCCCGGAACACATCGTACCCACATGGACAGGAAGTCCGCTCCCTCAGCGACGACACGGCGCTTGGATGGTCTCAGTGGTGTGTGGTCCAGTGGTTCGCTTGCGCTATCGCAATTCATCGGGAGGTTCTTCACGACCTCATCCTTATTCTGAAGAAGTGCGCCTGGCTAACGTCTATGCGATATGCTTGCTTCGCTCGCAATGACTCGTGTCCTCGCAGCTACCACGTGGATATGGCTGGTATGTCCGCCGCTCACCTCAGCCGACTCGGGGCATACCCCATAGGCGTTGACTGGACGCACTTCGCAGGCGACAAACAAGGACAATTGTCCGGGTACAGTAAAGTAGTCTCCGTTAGCACTGTGTTGCTTGCGTCACAGTTGCATGTCCTCAGGCCTCAGGCGTAGCGAGCAACACAGTGCTAATGGAGGTACGGTAGAACACATTGCTCAAAATGATTGCACAATACAGACCTTCGCCACTACCGTGCGGCGTGTACAAACAGGCTGTACTACTCTCACCAGGACCTTGCAGTTTGCAAGTTGCTGTATCAATGTGGCTCCTGTCCTCACCGCTGCAACGTGGGTGCGCGCGTTGCTCATTGGTATAGGCTAGGCTCCACTTAAACAGCTTTTTGCATTGCATCAACCGTTCCTTGCAGCTTCGCGTGCGCGTTGTGGCCTGATATGGCGAGGCTCACTGCACCATCACAGCCCATACGCTGTCGACACACCGAACTCATCTCCAGGATGACAGAACTCCCCTCTCTCGCGGGGGCATCAAACTCTCCCGAAGCTTCCCATATGCCGAGCACAGAATTACTGTGTGTGGTGTGGTATGCATTGATACAGCGATAAATACAGGATACACGAGTCGGGGGTATGGAGTATGGATACATCTCTAATAAACATCGTCGGCAACGTGTATCTCGCACGAATGCCATCAATAACAAAGCGCATTATGACGCATGGCCAGGGGCCACAGCAGACAGCCACGACCACGCGCGGGCAATCTTCTCGATCCGCTCGATCTCATCTCCAGAAACCTCGCCCTTCCACACGCTCAATATGCTCTCCTCCTCATCAATGCACCTCAGGATCGATTCCGCGTCGCGGCCAGCCACGAACGCGAGGTAGCACCCGAGCACGCACATTGCGTCCGTCGGGCGGCCCGCCGGCGCGGTCACCAGGACGCGCACCGTATCCTGGTCCGGGAGTGCAGCCAGGGACTGCGGGAGGCCCTCCGCGATGAAGTCGCGCGCGGCGCGGAGCTGGGGTCCGCTGAGTTCGAGCGCGGCGCGGCCTTCCCACTTGCGCGCGGTCTCGGGGAGGACGAGGCGGAGACGCTGCACGCGGCCTTCCCAGCGGCGCTCTGCGCTCCCGCCCGTGAACGCGACGCCCGAGGCGTAGCAGATGTCGACGATGTGTGTGAAGCCCTCCTCGTACGACCGGTCGGTGTCCTGCCCGAACGCGACGTAGACGGAGGGGATGATGGCCTGCAGGTGGGGGTCGTTGGCTTTGGGGGGCTGAAGGGGCGTTGGGAGTGGGGCGGGAGCGGGGGCGGGGGTGGGTTCAGCAGCCTTAGGCTTGGGCGTCTCGAAGATGGGGGTCTTCACGTCCTGGAAGTTGGCGAAGCGCGGCTTCGCTGGGTTCGCGCGGCGGCGGGGAAGATTGCTGCGGTGTGGTTGGAGGTGCCCCTTGGGCGACCACGGGCCGGGCATCTTCCCGGTCTTGAACGGCGCGTCGATCTCGAGCGTGAGGCTCACACCACAGCGGTCCCGCAGCGAGCGGCGGGCGGGGGGTGCGGGAGGCGGGAAGACGCCGAGGGGGCTGGTGGGGTACATTGCGATCGCGTCCGAGCGCGATTGCGAACGCGACTTGGTCGGGATCGCGAGGGGCGGGAGCATGGCGTGCGAGGCGGACATGGTCGCGACGGCGGCGGACATTGTCGATGATAGTGCGAAGCAGTGAGTTGGTCTGTGGTTGTGCGAGGTTGGCGATCTAGCCAAGTGGGGAGGTTCGCGGTGGTTGTGTGATAGCGATGGTCAGTGCTTTAGAGACGAGTCGCAGACCTGTCAAGAGAGTAGGTGAGATGAGGGAGTGCGCGGTGCGTGCAGGAGTCCTCACTGACTTATGTAGCACAGAACACGCGGTGGAGTGCAAGGCTTGCCGAAGACACGAGGCGGGTTATTTCACGTTCGGGGGTTGTAGATGATAAGCAAAGGGCGGTTGGCTTGGACTGGTGGTTGGGTGAAGATGTTGAACGTTGTGTTGATGTTGGTCTGAGGCGAACGAAGACCTCTTTATACATTGTTCGAGCCTGTCGCCAGAGCAGTGCCTCGGCTACCCTTCTTTCGTCGGTTAGCGGACTTGAACGTTATCCTATGTCGACTCACCGCGTCCCGATCACCATAGCCGAGGGCATCGAGTGTTGCCCCAGGCCAGACTGCAATGCGGCTGGGACGAAGCTAGTTCACAGCCAAACTTCCGCCTTCTCTTCGTTTGTGCGCGCCGGATTTCGAGTCGGACCGCGCATCCGATCCGAGGCGGACTTGCCACATTCGGCCATCCACGGGTACCCACCTTCGTCGGGTTGTCCGAGAGTCAATCGTACACGGAAGCGGAGAAGTGAAGGCGGTCGTGAGAAGTCGTGATATTGGTACAGAAGATTCCCCGGTATCCCCAGATGACCCGAGTCTCGATATACAAGATACATCCGAGCATTTTCCTCCTAGTTCTCGTTCGCGGCAGGCTTGAACATCCGCGGGTGCCTGCGCTCCTTCGCGAGCTCCTGCTCCCTCTGGCGCGCCTCGATCTTCATCTTCTGGAGGCGCATCGCCTCCTTCATCGTCTCCGCCCATACCCACGGCCGGCTGCTGTCCGGGAGCGAGTTGAAGTACTCCCATCCGCCCACACCGCCCCAGCCCGTGCCGTACTTGTCCATGAGGTTCCCGATGCTCGTCACCACGTTCTGCGGGCTGATGTACCCAAACCCGTTCGACGGGTTCGTGAGCACGAGCGCGGTCACGCGCGCGGGGTCGATGCCCTGCTCGTACTCGATGATCCGCACGTACTGGTCCTCGGGGAAGAACGTCCCGAAGCCCGAGTAGAACTGCGCGTTGTACCAGTCGATGAGGTGGCCGAGGTTCTGCTCGAGCTCGATGTAGTTGAACCCGGACAGGTTCCCGCCTTCGGTCAGCGCGGACGCAACGGGCGCGAGCGTGATGATGAAGTCGTCCCCGAAGTCGGCCTTGAGCGTGCGGATGATGCGCTCGATCGTCGCAGGCGACACCCGCTGCTCGACGTCGAGGTCCATGCCGTCCAGGTGGTACGTCGCGATCACATCCTTGAGCGGCGGGTAGTACGTGTCGAAGAGCTCGTCCACCAGGCATTCGTACGTCCCAGGCGCCGCCCCACCGAGCATCCCGATGATCTTCGTACCGTTGCCCTGCATCTGCGCGATCTCGGGCCACATGGGCGCGTAGTACGGGTCGGCGGGCATGAAGTCGTTCAGGTGGACGATGTCGGGGCCGACGTTCCCCATGTTCAAGTGGAACGCGGCGAGGAAGAGGTGGGTGACGTAGCCGATGAGGGGGAGTGGCGAGACGTAGCGACCGCTCTGGTACTGCGTCTGGTAGTACATGACGACGCGGTTCGCGATCGCCGCGGCGCTGACCATGGTGGGCGAG